TGGTGGTTGTTGCTGGAGTAGTTGTGCATGTTGGGGGCGTGTGTCCATGGCCCTGGGCCCCCACCCTCGGGACTTCTTGCGGGTGTCGGGGGCTATGGCCAAGGTCCCCAGCCCTCACCCCTTTCTGGCTTGGTAGCCCAGGGGACTTCTGGTCCTTCTAGGTATTATAGGTGTTCTTTGGTGAAATGAGACCTTTACTAGTTAATTTCAAACTTTGACTGGTTGTGGGTACTTTTTTCTTTCATTTCTGTATTGGATTATTTGCAGTCCCCACCACTTAAACTCTGCACCAGAACTAATTTGCTGTCCTTTGCTTCCTTCTAAAATGGGGGAACTTCCTGTGGGGACCAGTACTTGAGCTCCATGGTTGAGCTAAGTTGCTACTTTGCTGCTGACTCCCTAGGGAAGGCTTTTTGTGCAGCTCAGGTTTTAATGGCTGACTTTATAGGTACTTCCAGCTCTTGTGAGATCCAGTCGACCTGGGTTCTGTAGAAACTCTGGTTTGGGCCTGAGTCTTTTCGTCAAACTGCACCCCATACAATTCTATATTTCTGACCAGTCTCCTCTGAGTGGGTGTGCAGATCAGCTGTACTTGCTGTGCCCCAGTGTTCCCCGGGTGGGCCCATCTCTGCCCCCCACTGGCACTCCAAACACTTCCCATGGGACAGCCTGTGCTCCGGTCCCTTGTGATGACTCACCAGCCTCTGAGTGGCTCCTTCTTTTCAGTTGTTATGGCTCCTCGCTCCTATGTGGGTCCATGGGAACCTTATCAGTAGTTTTGCTGAGCTTGGGCCCACCAAGGCCCTCTTCTCCCCTGCTGCCTCCAAGCAACTTCATCGAGCTTTTGCCAGCTCCTGCTCTGAGCTCTCAGCAGCTCCAGCCTGGAAGCAGCTGGGACTCGAAACAGTCAGAGAGGTTTTTTATTTCTCTCATCGTGGCTTCTCCAGCCCTCATGCACTCCATAGGTCTCTCCTCCTCTTCCCCTGAGCTCTAGAGGCCCCAGCTTGGCTGTTGTTGCTTTTTAATAGTTGTAAATTGGTTGATTGGTGTGAGAGAGTGCCACTGGGGACTGTCTATTCTGTCATCTTGACTGGAAGTCCAAATATTGCCCACACTGATTTCTTGGCTCTCTTGATGGTGAGGTTTCTTTCTTTAACTGTTGCACTCTCTCAAAGGTATGAACAGAGTTTCTAGACTCCTTTACTCCCTCTAATTTTAGAATGGGAAACAGAAAGAGGTCTAAGCATGGTCAAGCTCTTTGACATAAGGGA